GATGAAGTAAGTTGTCCACATGGCAAGGAACTCCTTTAGAAGCTGAAGGCTGCCTCTCAGAGGTAAGAATGACCTCCAGCTAACAAGAAGCTGGACCCTCAATCCTACAGATGCAAGGAAATAAATTCTGCGAGCAACCTAATGAGTTTGTAATGAGATTCTTCTGTAGTTCAGTTTCCAGATGAGAACACAACCTGGCTGACACCTTCACTACAGCCTGTAAGACCCTAAGCAGGCGACTCAGCTAAGCTATGCCTAGACTCCTGACCCTTGGAAACTGTGAGATAATAAATCCCTGTTGTTTCAATCTGCTAAATTTGTAGTAATTTGTTATGCAGCAGTAGAAAACTAATATGGAAGGGAAGATGTTTTTATAACCTGTAGATCCCAAGGTAAGGCAGTCATTCCTTGCCCAGACGAGAGAAAGTTAATACGTTTGTTAGAGGTATTATCTAGTGAAATAGTAGTGGTACAGAGTAAAGACATGTCTGCTCAGGTTGTTTTGGAAATACAAGTACAGATAACTCATTTTTATATAGACAGCTAACTAAGCGCACATAATCTATCATTCCTTCTTAAAATTTATACCTAAAGGCCATTCACATTGTTACATATGAAAGACAGCATGGAAAACTAAATTCAATTGCTGTATTAATAACCACACTGCACCAGTTAGCTTTATATTTAAGGGTAACATGTTTTAACTGGAGCCCTGGTGACACACTGGTTAAGAGCTCAGCTGCTAAACAGAAGGTCAGCAGTTCAAATCCACCAGCTGCTCCTTGGAAATGCTATGGGGCAGTTCTACTCTGTCTTATACGGTCTCTATGAGTTAGAATCAACTTGACGGCAACAAGTTAGTTAGTTAATATGTTTTAACTAAGAGTTCAGACGAGGGACCAAAATTTCTTTTTAGGAAGTTACTTAGGCCCCGTAAAAGGTAATATCATTACTACCCCTACTAGAGCAGGTTAGCTCCACTTCTTCACTACCATGGGCAATGTCTATGCCTGTTACTCAAAAGATACCAGAAAGACATATCTAGTCAAACAAATATTGCTGTTCTGTGAAAATGATTATGCTCAAGAGAACAACATCATAGCCTAGCTCTAAGATCTAAGCCAACTTCCAGCTGACAACAGTTAATGATTAGTTTTTTAAAAAAAAAAATTCTTCTCAGCAACAAGTAGTGAATATCCTTGTACATACCCCTTGTTGCACCTGTGTGAAAGCATCTCAAGGGTGGAACTCTGGATCAAAGGGAATATGCAGACTTAATTTCACTGAACACTACATGATTTCCTTCCAAAATTGACTATTTATTCCAAAAAAAATGATTTATTAATCCCATCTACACTGCCTTGGGTTCTGCATTTAGTTTTAAATTTATAATAATTTTTCTAATTCCCCTCAATTGCTATAATATTTCTTGGAAGTAAATTAAATAATAATTATTTTCCCTGGCCATTATGAGTCACGTATTGTCTTAAATATTCCATTAAAACAACAAGCTAATCTATGATTTCTAGAAAAAAAAGTCAATTCATAGATAATTAGCTCATTAAATAAATCCCAAACAACCTAAATGTAAACAAAACAAACAAATAAACAACAACAAAAAGACCAGTGAAAACTAGTCTAGGCCATACTTTGACAGTCTTCCTGAATGAATGATCCAGGATAACTTACTCATCTTATTAAACAGAATAGGCCAAAATGTTTTTTTCTCGTGTATATAAAGCTAAGCTTAGGAAAAGAATTTGGGATTCATTTAGAAAAATAAAAGGGTTACATACTTTTTATATACTTAAATACATTGTGTTTTCTGTTTGCCATCTAAATTTACATACTCCGAAATAATTAAATCTTTTGACAACTGTTATAACTTAAATCTAATAAACATTGAAGAAAATACTGTATGCAATTTATAATATCACAAAAAACTCATTTACTTTTTTTAAGATCACCTGTTTTAATTATATCTTAGTTACACACATATATATATTTAATAACCAGTTTATATTCATGGCTGATTCTTAACAAGGGGAAATAAACTGTTAAAACCTGTTATTATAAAACTTGAATACAGACCCCATTAACATAAAAAATTAGTATTCACGTCATTTTACATTTGTTACAATCTTTAGATAGATGTTATGTAAATTATATTTTATAGCATATAAGAAGTTAGTGAAGAGGTAGAATTGTAAGGGCCGTGAAACTTGAGTCCAGATGTTAGTTTCCCTTTGAGAACTGGTATTGACGGTGATCTTCATAACCAGGAGATTTCTATTGGTTGATCCAGAGTAACATTATTTGTTGTCAGATAAATTTCTAGTATCTAAACAATAAATAAATAAATGAAAAGTTACTTAATTGCTTAATCAGAACCACATTTCTTTTAATGAAGATTATCTCCATAAACAAATGTTTTTAAATAAACCTTGTTTATCTTATTCATGTAGATGAATTTTTATTCTGGAAGTTCACAACCATTTGAGTAATAATCTCATCCAACCCACCCATTTTACAGATGATGACAATAAATCCCAGAGAGGTGGAGTGGCTTGTCAAAAGGCAGTGAAAACTGAGACTATTAACCAATGGTCTTGATTTCTATTACTTTACTATTTCCACATAACTTCTTGAAATACAAAGTTATTTATAATTGCACTATATGGTTCTCAACGCTTCTCTGCCCCCAAAGTTTAGCCAGTTGTTTACAAGCAAAATTTAGATTTAGAAATACAATGTTTTCTTCTACATCAATCCCAAACGGATTTAGGTTCCTGAATTTATTGTCAATGTTTTTAATTCCATGTGTTATTTTCTTTCACTGAAATAATCTAAATAGACCATGTGAGGGCTAATCCTAGAGATGACCAAGTAAACACCTATATTCAAACAATTATCTGTCATACTTTTGTGATATGATGGTTTTGCAACACCTTGCTATTGTTGCTTCTTCTTCAACATACCTACATGACTCTCTGTGTCTTTACTTGGAAAATTTGGATTCAGTCACAAAATATACAAGAGAAGAGGAAGAGAACCAACATTCTTGTATTTCCCACCACATACCAGACACTCTCCTAGGGGCTTTATAAAATTTATTCATCACAAAAGCACAGCTTTAGGGTTTATTTGTCACACTTTATAGTAGAGGAGTTTAAACAAAAGAGTTAAATGATTTGCTTAATACTATTAGCTAGAATTGAAACTGATCCATCCTACACCAATACCTAAGCTAGTTCCTTTATATCAAGAGTTAACAGTAGCAAGTATATCTCATAGCTCTTAACACATTTTACAAAGATCAGCTACGTAAAATTGTGTTGTAAGAAAGTTTTAAAATTCTTCTGGTTAGAGCAATTAAATCAACTTTGCTATACCTATGGAGAAGGGCAAACAGACTAGAGAAAGAAATTAACCACTCTCTCTTTTTCCCTCATATCTGTAAAGGCTGGGAAAACAGTAGGCATTAAAAAATATTTGTTGAAGCTAAATGTACTTAGAAGTAATTTCTCCACTGTTACTGACAGCAGCATATATTTTCTTTTGGAATCTCTAAGGTAATAAAACATTTAAAAAAATCTTAATACTTAAAATTCTTTTCAAATGTGTTTGAGAGCTGGAGAAAATATTTTTATTTTTAAATAGTGTGTTTTTGTGCCAAGTATTTGCTCAAAATTAGCTTGAAATAATATTCAACAAGTTAAAATATTTTTGACATTATTCAGATGATTTTATTTACTTTATTATTTTCAGAGTAAAAGTTGTTTAAGTTTTTTTCACCATTATAATAATAAGAAAGAGCAAGGAAATACATAAACATATCATACTTTTTTTATCTGATTAAACACTGGACGGCGAGACAAAACCATGTTCTAATTTGGTTGACAATCATTGGCTATTTATACTTACATTAATTTCCCTTTTCCAGCACTCCATTTTCTGGGCTTTCACATAAAACAACCAGACTAAATCAGTGATTCTCTTACTTTAGAATTTTATAAACCAGTAAAATTTTAAAAAGGAAAAAAAGAAGTGGGTGTGAAGCACTAGGTTATCAAATATTTTACCTAGGAAGGACATTACAAATACTACACTAATTTCCCAACCTTGTCAAAATTTCAAGAAATAAGAGGTATTTTAATGCTAAAATATTAAGAAAGACATGATTTTACATGAAAGGACAATTACTATTTGCCTACAGAATAGCAGTGTTAGTAGGACAAGTGTTAAGTTTTAAATGAATGAAATGGCCTCTACTGTCCTCCCAAACTCTAATATCTTATGAAATCTATGAGAACTTAAACTTGTGTCCAAGATACACAAACTGAAATAAATTGGCTATTTTGCAAATGTTAAGTTTTCATCTAACATGATTGTCTGTTTAATAGTTTTTTTTACCCAACCTTAAACATAAATGTATACATGCAAACTCAAAGACAGTTTGAGCTATGCAGATACAATCTTAAACTTGGATCAAAGACTTGTAACAGCTGTTTTCTAGAAGATATGTTATTTAAAAGCCGCCTTTATAAGCCTAGATTCACAGAATTTAGAACTGAGAGGAGCTTAAGGGATTGTTTGCTTGCATATTTGTATTTAATTGGAGAGAAAAAGGAGGCCTAAATTCTATTTGTTTTAAGTAAAAAGCTAATTACTGGCAGCAATCAACTTTACCACAAGAATTCAGGCTCCTTGTTAGTGTTCCGTATCTGTATCCTACATGGACAGTTTTATCAATTTTGCAAGGACTTTCAAATGTATTTCATCAAAGACATAATAAATGTTTAAAAATGTGGACATTTTAGTTTTGAGAAATGATTTCTGAGGCACTTTACATATAGAGATAATAGTTACTATAGAAGCTTAATATAATTTTTAATTTTTTGAGATAATTATAAAATAGATGCCATTGTATTGATTTTTATGACTTTATTAAAGATGGAAGTTTAATGAAAATAAATAAATATCATAGTTAACCCATAATTATGTTTCTTCAGAGCTGAAAAATATAAGTAGTTTATTTAAATGTTTTAACTAGTTCTATTTAACAAAATATTTTTATATGTCACTTACCTCCTTGTCCGACGTGCTGTTAAATCTAAGTGATTCTTTATTTCCTTTATACGTGAGAGAAACTTCTTTGACAGGATCCTTTCCTTTTCCCCATACCCTGATGAGTCCAAGCCTCATTTCATTTGTATTCACATAACCATTTTTCAATATAGTGCTTGTCAAGCTGGTCTATAAAGAAAAAGAAAAATAAATAATGTATATCTTTCTTTTTCAAAAACAATTGAATCTTTTTAAAAAATAGACTGGCCCAAAACAAGAAGGTATTTAATAATATAGCAAATTGTTCATATATATGAAATGAGGTATTTTATATAATAAACATGCAATAAAACTTCAAATATTATTTTACACAATTGTATGTAAATGATCTCATATGAATACACACCTTGTTTAAATTAAATTGTACCATGAAATACAGTTGTCTTTCATAGGTATCTGTAGAGGGAAAAAAAGCAGTACATTTTTATTTCAAAACAACAATAGTAAATACAAGGGTATTTTGCTTCTTTTGCCCAGTATAAATGATATAAAATACCATAAACATATAGCTAAAATTTCCCTAAGGGTATTTAACTTGTTGAAACAGTGCAAGGAGCACTGAAGTAGTAAGGATGAGTCACCAGAGAGGGTTCTAGAAGGATGAGGTATGTTAGTGTATGTGTGTGTGTGGGGGGGGGGGCGGATAAATCTAAAGCAGTGACATGTTTAAAATCACCTTAAATGCAGCTCTGAGAAGGTGAAAAGAAGTGAAAGAATAAACAGAATTTCCTGGTAATAGTGGTAGACACTTCCCTTGCCACCTAAATGACCGACAAGAAAATAACATTTATAAAACAAAAGGAACACCATAGCAACTTACACTTGAGTCACTTGAAAAAATATTCAATTGTTAGAGATTGTTACAAGTCAAATTGATAAAAAGACAGGGTTTATATTCATTTCTTTACCTAAAATGTGTTGTTGTTAGGTGCCATAGAGTCAATTTCGGTTCACAGTGATCTCATGTGACAGAGTAAAATTGTCCCATACGGTTTTTCTAGGCTGTGATCTTTACAGGAGCTGATTGCCAGGTCTTTCTCTTGTGGAGCCGCTGGGTGGGTTTAAACTGCCAACATTTCGGTTAGCAGCTGAGCACTTAAGCACTGCTCTGCCAGGGCTTCTTACTTAAAATATACTCTTGCCATATTTAAAATCACTTTTAATAAAACACTCACAACTAAAACTTATTGAGTGCTTTACTTAGTTCATTGAATTCTAAGTACTTTACCACAGCTACTCTAAGAGTTATGTATTACTATTATTTCCCCCTGCCCAGGTTTCCCTGACTTCTTAGATTTTGTTCACATGTAAAAACAAACAAGAACTCATCAAACAGAAACAGAAAGGTAGAGTTAAATTAATGGTTGAAACAAGTATTGGAATACCACTGAAATAGGCAATAACTTTTTTGATTTCCTTCTCCACTTATACATATCAGCACTATATTAGTTAATTGAGAAATTTCTTAATTTGCAATTAATTTTATCTGTAGTAAGATTAAATTATATTCTGCCTAAAACTTTTTTCTCTCTCTATACTAATACATGCACAGCTTACTTAAGATGTGTCATGAGGCAAAATATATTAGTCTTAATTTTTAAATATGCATTTTAAATTAAGTTTTTAAGAGTAATTTTCAAACAAATATAGAAATCTGAAGTAAAGTTAAACAAAAGTGACAGCCATTAGGAGAATATGGGCAGTTTTTTTTTTGTTTTTTGTTTTTTTTTTGGTAGTTGTTTAAATGAATAAGATAAAGAGCAAATACGATTTTAGTCAAGCACACAGATAGATCTATTTCATTAAGATAAGTATGAAAAATGAATATTTAAACTTAAGTTAGAATGGTCAAAATCAATGCACCCAAGGTTTATTATAATTTTATTTTGATTCTTTTCGAGAGGAAGAATTTATTAGCAAATAATAATATATCATAAAATTTGAATGTATTTGTTTAAAAGGAGAAAATCTTTTAAAACGGGTACTCATCAACTAGACTGAGGTCCTAACTGTGAGAAAATGGCTTTGAAGATTCTGATTTAATAAGTCCAGAGATTTTAAGCATTTGTTGTGTTTTGCTGTTTCTGTTTACTCAGAAAATTTCAGTGGGTTATTTGAAATATAATTGGTCAGAACAATTTTGTCTACCTGCATGAAGAGATTATAGAGAAATATCTGAATTTTGTTCAGTTCATTTTCAGTGACTAAAAACAATAAAAACAACAAAACCTGTCATGGTAAGGACCTTACCAAGTTCTTTCATCTGCTTTTAGTTTGATAGGAAGAAATGGGAAAAAAAATTATCTAAATCTAGGGAGCTTTGACTCCCTAGCTATTAGATGCCAATAATTTAATTTGCTAAATTGTGAGATTTAAAGACACCCTGAATGCAAATTATGCATACCTCAACTTTACACCCCAGGGAAACTGTAGGCAAATTCAAAGTGCCTGTTGCTAGTCCCTGGTGTGAAAGCAGGGCTGCAAACCTTGGTGTGGTCCCCCAGTTAATGTATTAATGAAAGTCAGGACTCTAAAACTCTACCATTTCAACTGATAGCAATTGGTTTCTTCATCTTCTAAATCACAAGGTTTTAGAGAGTTTTGTTTCATTTTCAGGGTCTTGTTTATTAGCATACAATTCTTATATCAACTTTCTGATATAACTTATTTACTAACAGAATTTTATTTCTTATATTTGCGGAATATTAGCTATGATTTATCTGAAAAGGTGAAAGGTATGTGTCTTTGCTGTTAATGAAAAATCTATCACCTGTGGATCTTATTGAAATTGCAGTGAACTGCCCCATGAGAACTTCAACACCACATAGATGTTAGTTTTTATAACGAAGGTTTGTGTTAAAGAGAATGTTCTGAGCTTTCATCTAGTAAATTTGGGACTGTTGATAGCAATCAGTACACCAGATCCTCTACCAGTGTTTACTGGTAAAATGGAAACATTTTACACAAAGGCAGATTCCCCTGAATCCAGTGGAATTTGGAGGAGCCCCAGAATCTGCATTTTTAACTAACTACCCCTGTTGATTCTGATGCTGACGGTCAACATAGTAAACACTGCTAGAAAATTGGCAATTCAGTCTGGTTTTCAGGGACCATCAAGGAGGAGTAAACATAGATCCACTTTTATGGATGTCTTCTCGTATAAAATACATACTGAATTAAAATAATTTAATAACCATAAACATAAAGACTAAAATTTGTGTCTGGTTTCTGAACTATCTCCTTGTTTTAAAGGTATCTCTTATACATTAATAAATATACATGAAAAATTGTTGTTAGGCTCATTTGACCTTATACGTATTGAGAGTCTGTTATGTGAAAAGCAGTCAGAGTACGAAGATGTTCAATATACAGTTACTGTGTACACAAATCTCTTAGTTATCTAGACATTTTATTATAAGGGTTAACTATATTTAGGATAAGAGCAAAGCCTTTTAAAGGTTTGCAACTGTTCTTTTTTTTAAGTTGATTCAAGTAATTATTAAACTCTCTTAGCTTTAAATAATATTCATAAATTTTTATTCAGTTTGCAAAGTACAAGAGTAGTAACAAAAAAGAAATGTTAGAGAAAAAGTAGGTCATCAATTACATTCATCTATTAAATGAAACACTCACCTATAGTGTCTCCATCATCCCAAAACAGAGATCCTTGAGCCATATGATCATCATCCGCAGCAACAATAAGGCTCATGTAATTTTGTCGACTATAAGGAAGGAATATAGTTTTACCCATGTTTGTAGAATAGCATATGTCTAGTGATGATATGACACCCATATATGTATAGAAAAAAAACCCACAAAAACCCACAACTAGGTATACTAATGAAAGAGAATGCAAACTGTTTTAGACAAAGGTAAATAAAGGACTTTCTTTTTTCAATGAGTTAATGAGAATGGTATAAATCATAAAATCCTTCATATTTAATAGAAGATATTGTGCATGTCTTTTGGTCTCAAGAGTTCATCTACTGTTACAAATCAAAAGTGACCATATTTATAATAAAACAGTTTGAAGTCTATGGATATACTTATTTGTTCTTCTCTCTGGTGATACTCTCCTTGACCATTAAACAACAAACTATTTTAATAGCATATTTTGTATCTCTTATGACCTAAGCCTTTCTCTCATTTCTACACATAAATTAATCACTGAATTATCATTTTAATTGTTAATGAGAGTGCTCAGAGTAGCCAGTAAATTTTAAGTCCAGTTCTAGGAATGGACAATGCCTCCCAACCTTGTGTCTACAGAGGCCCATCCTTGAATAAAGGCACCTGCTTCCAGGCTCATTGTATAGCAATTTGTGGAGAGCAACTTGGTTTGACAGACTCATATTGCTAAGGAAGAGTTTCTCAAATTATGTTTAGCTATATGCCTTTTCCAATCACAAATACTAAAGGATGTACTCTCATAGACATCTCCTAAGACATTCAGAAAAATGACAGAGTTCAAATCTCCATAGTAATTTTGTATTTTCCAGATGGAAGATATTCACATATCTTAGCATACAAGTACTATATATATGTATGTATGTATGTGTGTGTGTATATATATATATACTTATATATGTATGTA